GGAAAAGGCAATTTGGGAAGAAGGCTGGATCGCACTGGGGAGTCCAAAACCTACAGATGTTCAGGATAACTAAAGGCAGAAGAAAAAGTTGTCTGACCTAAATAATAGGAGACGATCCTAAACCCAAGTGACAAACAGGTCAAAACAAGATATGGTGAACACATTTGGTAAAGTGGGTACAAACTCCTTGTGAGGCACATCCCAGGCAACTGTAGATGTTAAACCCCACTGAGCTGGGAAAAGTCTTGGTGTAGAATGTTGAGTTCAGGATGCTTCAAATAAGATAGCCAAAGAGGAAGATGCAGAGGTGGACTCACAAGAAGAAACTACATACGAGGAAATCATGGCTAGGCCTGCAACATCTTGCAAGTAGAGAATCAAAATATGGCCAGAACTCTGAGTAACAGAGGAAGTGAGGGAAAGTCATAGAAATGCAATTCCATCCAAGCAGGACTGATTGCATCTACCACCCAAGCCTGAGGATGAGGTAGTGGAGACTCCAAAGCTTGTAGATGAGTATCAATGAGTGGCAAAAGCTATCAATGGAAACCCAAAGTGAGAACAAATCTATCAGAAAACAACACAATGGAGAATCTATTTGTTCAGGAGAAAGTGAGGGCTGAGATTGACAATCCACTATGAAATCTATCACCCCAAGAGGCTGACATGATTAGAATAGGCCCCATAGAGAAAGAACCAAATTTAAGAAACCACTGGAATTGATGAAACGTCTCATGAAGATATTCTCCTGCAAAAGATCAAAACCTTGCATTATTGCCTGTTGGACAGCAAGAAGTTCTAAATTATTGATGCAGAATGAAAAATCGTTCTCTATTCATATACCCTAGAATTCCTTATCATGAAGATACACACTGCATCCTTGAAGTGAAGTATCTGTGAAGAGAAACTATGGAAAGAGGGGCAGTATATATTTATATACACACACACACACACACACACATATATATATATTAGATCATCAAGAAATTAATGTCACATTTTGGAACACTTTCATTAACCACCCCCTAAAAAACGTACATCATGTATAATAGTTAAATGAACCACCTAAACCTCACGTTAGTGTAGTCTACATAATGTGTGAAGTTTAGTATACTCTAATCCCTTATAGTGATGGCACACCTTCGGCACATAAGGCTGTTTGAATACAAGAAGGGAAATAACACCTCTGTAGTCACAAAGAATTTCAAAGAAGTTTATGGAAATGTTTGGAATGTTCATAAATGTCAATGATGGTTCAGCAAATTTTGTTCAGGTAACATCAATATCAATTCCAACATGTTGGCCCCTGCCATCACAGTTTTTAAGGCTAAACTCTGAAGATGCTTGTTGAGTCTAACCCAAGGTAACACACTCGTGAAATGGCCCTGAAATTGCATATCTCTCATGAAACAATATGTAAACATCTAAGGAATATGGGAAAACTCCATAAAGATGGTGTTTGAGTGCCTAACAAACTTTCCGATGATCATCGTTTCCAACATGTGAACATTGCTTCGTCTCTTCTGGTGTGTAATGTGTGTGAACCATTTTTGGACAAAATTGTCACCGGTGATGAAAAATGGATTCTCTATGCAAATATTAAATGCCAAAAACTATGGTTCAATCCTAGACAAAAACCACTTCTGATCCCAAAACCTGGACTCCATCTGCAGAAAGTGATGCTTTGCATTTGGTGAAACATCAAAGGAATAATTCATTTCAAACTCCTCAATTCTCAGCGAACTGTCAATGCATAGATCTATAGTCAGCAACTGGAACATTTAAATCAAGTCCTTCATCAGAAACGCCCTTCACTCGTCAATCAGAAAAGTGTTCATCTCCACGACAATGCACGTCCACGTGTGGTACGTTTGACACAACACAAAATTATGGAGTTGGGTTGGGGAGTTCTTCCCCACCCACCACATTTTCCAGATATGGCACCATTAGATTACCATCTTTTTCGTTCGCTGCAACACCGTCTTAATGGGAACACGTATGCAAATGTGGAAGATGTTAAAGAGGACATCGGCATGTTTTTTGCTTAAAAGCCAAGTAATTTCTTTAATCAGGGCATTAACAACCTGATTGTAAGATGAAAAAGCATCATCTATAAGAATGGAGACTATTTCATGTAATAAATGTTTTGTTTTGATATATAAGTTGTTTGGGTTTTTTCATCTAAAAAAAAGCAACATTAGTATTTTGACAACATAATACTTTGGTTACTTAATTGTTCAAGTACAAAAGTAAAAGGTCTGAAACTAGTTCTAGTGCTTTGTTTGAGTAAAAGGATGTTATGAAAACAAGGATGTTCAAAGTCAATATAATACTTTATACTAAATAACTACAAACTTTTTTACACACATAGTTAATGAGACAAGGTATTAAATGCTGTTTTTTTTTTGTAAATGTAAGAAACATTCACCTCCAATACAATAATTTGTTATAAAGCAGTAAAAAACATCTAACAATTGCTTTTATCACTATTACCATAAAAAAATGGTCTTGATGACCTTTTCGTTTTAGACATTTTATTGCAAAAATATCTGGGAAAACAAACCCTTTTATACTTTTTAGTTATTATATTGTATATTTGTAATAACTATGTATTATTGTTAAGTAAATAAAAAACGAAAACTAACCATTACAATCCCTTTCTTCATAAGTAACATCATCAATTGCAACAAATGCATTAGTTCCTGCCCCTCGAATAACTTCAAACATAAGCTGAAAATTATCATCACTGTGGACTTGCAAGGCAACAGGAGACCATTTGTTCCCCTCAGGGTAAGAACGAGACCAAATTTCAATGTTGTTAACACTACCATTCTCATATAATTTCCGATATACTGATAGTTTTCCCAAAACTGAAAAACAAAGCAAAAATATCATTATAAAATGCAATGCTAACTAAGTAAGTAAGTTAATGGTTTGGTCAACATCAATGATATTGACAAACATAAACAATATTTTATTTTCTGTCATTACTTCCATTCTACTTAAGAGCTTAATCCAGTATTCTGCCCTTAAAACTAATCAGCTAAACAAATTTTTCTTTTGAACAGTTATGAAATCTAGCAAAGTTTACTATTTTTAAGAGCATAAACAGGTTATGTCAAGTTATTTTGAGTTAAAATATCAGAAAGGTAATAATAAAAAGTTATATACAAATACTGCACTAAAACACCTTAAGTTTTACAATTGACCAATAAGATGAGGTACATCTACTACGAAGTATGATTAAAGACGTTTTTCCATATCTTCTTTAGTTTTTATTGCATTCTAGCAACTAATATGCAGACAAGTTTATAACAGAAAATTAAAATGTTTATGTACACTCAATTGTAGTAATACTTTTTCAGTATATTTTTTTACCTTCTCCATTAATAAAATACCATAATCGTAAACAGGAGAAAGCTGCTTTATTCAGAACTGGACTCACAAGCTGTGCTTTATTGTTTTCTTTTAGATGAACTGAAGTAAGATCAACATATGCATACATTCCTGAAAACAAACATAGGTGGAGTTAATAAAAATATAATAAATATCAAAGAAAAACAATTCCCAGACAAAAGTTTTAAATTAAATATAATTGTGATAGTAATTAGAAGTGCATAGCAAAGATAAGAACCATAGTACTGTGTATGTTTCAAGATTCAACGGAGGAATTTATACCTGGAATTGCCCATGTATGGTGACTTCTGCCAGTACCTGAAAAAACCAGGTCACAATGCATAACTATGCACTTTATGGTGTGTGTGCCCAGGTGGTACATGTTTGTTTTGTAGCTGTGACATTTCTTTTTTTTTCCTTTCATGTTCTATGTAATATTATAATTAATTATACATATGTATATATATATACACACACACAATTATAATACACATTTTATCATTTTCAGTAATAATTCTAACACTGTCTTACAGACATGTTTTGTAATCTCAACTGTCAAAGCTTTAATCTGGAAAAGAACCAGCTTATTAACAGTCATTCTACAATCTAACAACTTTATTTGATTATATTTCCTTGTGTTTTTAATTAAGCAAAACACTTAATCTATTGAAAAAGATATTTAAATTAAGTAACACCTGGTTAGAGCTTGGTGATTAACTTGATTAAACAAAATAATCAAGTACATAAATTAGTGTATTATAAAATAATCAAAATCACAGTTAAATCAAGTATGCCATTAAAATAATCAACTAACTGAAATTAGGGTCTCTGATTATTATTATTATCTTCATCTATTCCAACTATCCAAGTAATTGAAATATTCCCTTGAAGTTTTTTTGTTGTTCAACAGAAAGGTACACAATGAGCTATCTGTGTTCTGCACACCATGGGTATCGAAATCCAATTGCTAACATTATAAGTTGTTTTTATAACCATCTCATATGAGAATCATGAAGATCTTTTAGCCATCTCATGTCAGAATAACTAATTAGTTGAAGTAATAATAAGCACATTGTTTAATCAATTTACCCAGCTCTACTTCTGATCAGAGCAGGCTGTCTACTTGAATCAAAAATAAAAATCAACCAGGTACTGAGTATAACTAATTAAAGTTATAATCTTACCTCCTCTCACAAGATTAGCTATTCTCGTTCAGTGCTGCCCTCTATATGCTAACTTTTTCTTTACGCATGCCACAAGCCTTCTGCTCCTTCCTATTGGAATTGAAAGATTCCAACATGTCTCAGATGTAAATCATCATGCATCACTTCTCCACAATTATGAGCGTGATATGCTCATGTGATGCATATGACTCCCTCTATACTCCCCTACCAAACTATCACTTAGATGTTTGGCAGAAGAGGAAAGTGGAGAGGAAGATTGGGAAGTGTGAGCAGAGTGAGGTACCTATCAGAAATACATTTTCAGCATAGGAAAATTATAACTTCTGATACGGTACTTACCTCATCTCACAAGATTAGCTATAATCCCACACTGATGAGGAGGAGGGACCAGTGCAAGGGAATGACAGAAGTACTCCCTTACAGCATCCAAAGGATACCCCTGAAAATGAGAGAGTCAGATACGAAGATCAAATGAGGGGAACCAGACCACTTCTGAGACAGGTATACTCTTTGTCCATCTGTGAAACTTGTAGGAGATAAGGGCTGAAAATGAGAGGAGCATATCCAAGTGGAAGAGAACTGTAGTAGAATGGTGATCCTAACCATATAAATATAATGTAACTCAATCCCACAAATAGAAAAGTGGGTAAAACAAAGCATGTGCCCCTACATGTAGAGTGGCTAGGGCACGAAGACCATACTCAGTAAGTCAATTACATCCAAAACCTACCCACGTGGTACCGACATCCACACAAGGGTAAGATGAGGATCATACCATCTTCACCTCAAACTCAAGAAACCGGAGTATTGAGAACCACTCCGCCTCCTAGGTATAACACAAGTATTAGCTCTAAGCTATTGATCTGGTAACCCAACATCCGGTATCAAAAGGATATTTATTGCAAGCAATAACCTCCCCTCAACTGTGAAACAGACCGGGATCATCCAAATGGCAATAACATCCCCATAAGAAGATAGGATGAGGGAAAGCAAAAGGACAGAACTGGAACAATCCCATGTATCATCTCTATGACCCACAATACAGACAGACAACCCAAAATATGTGTCTGAAGACTTATGTTGATTGGTTCTACTCTAAATCTAAAACCTACCCACGGGGTGCCGAAATCCACGAGAGGGTAGGATGAGGGTTTGGTTTGTTTTGAAGTTCATGCAAAGCTACATGACGGCTATCTGCACTAGCCATCCCAAATTTAGCAGTGAAAGTCTTGATAGTCATCAGAAGGCAGATAGTCATTACCAGCTCTTGGGTTACTCTTTTCCCAATGAATAGTGGGATTGACCATCACATTATAATGAACCCACCCCTGGCTGAAAGAGTAAACATGTTTGGTGGGATGAGGATTCAAACCTGCGACCTTCAGATTGCGAGTTGAGTGCCCTAATCACTTGTCCATGCTAGGCCAAGAATGAGGGCTGCCAATCAAAGGGGTGAACTGCATTTTGACATCTCACTTCTTCTTAATTGTATATCACAGATAGGAGGATACCACATCATCTACACCCGTAGAACAACACCGTCTTACCCTGCACTGAATGGTTATAGCAATCCTTGTGTGGAACCCATTCAGGAGGGTGCCTTCATGGTCAACCACCCAAGTGGCTTGGAACTGGAAAGCGGTAAGGACCCCTATATTCCACTAAAAGGAAAGAGGGTAAAAAGGCAGTGGACAGTCTGGAGGAATGTTATCACCAGAGACAGTGCAATGGGTGACCATGAAACCTTATTTTGAAAAGCAGACCATACTGAGCTATTCACTAAGGCATAGCGGGGATGGGTAGCTATCCCTTTCTGCTTTACCCATGCAGTCCATGGGTGGTATGGACCAGAACAAGCATGTTTATGAAGCAATAATATCGTGAGGTTATTTACCTACAATGCAAACACCCCATCTCCACAGTAAGCAATGTAAAGCCATGGAATATAAAGTGCAACTCAACATAACTGAACAGTGCAGAGTTCAAGTTAAAAAATACTTGGTCAGCACCACTCACCACACAGCAGGATTCATAAGATGAGAAATGAAGCAAGGGCCCCTGAAAGGAAAAGTATTAACACAAACTTATCCAGTCAAAGTCGCAATGAATTGTGAAAAATGACAGCAGACAGAAGACAAGAAACTACAATATATATCAAATAAAGGGATATGATCATATGAGGTATGGTCCACATGCCCTACTGAAGAATTTCCTCCAACAGACGATGAAGATGAGATGCCAGAGAAAAGATAAGGCATCAAATTTGATGAAAAGACACCTAAAACAAAGTACAGGAGCCCAACATAAGAGAGAAATAAGCCAATCAAAACAAAAGCCAAACTCAATTGGTGAGGGTGGGAGGAGAAAGATCATGAACAGAGAATGGTTACCATGGAATAAAGAAGTGAGAATGAGCACCATGGATGGAAGCCATGCAGGCAACACAACACTGAAAAGTACATACAAGACATAGAAGGCTATCCATATCAGGCTGAGGACAAGGTGAGAAATGGAAGGAAGATAAATCAGTGAAAAGGGGGAGGTACCCTGCCATGCTGCCAAGGTTTGAGAATGATCTGGAAAAGAAGACATGTATGAAGATAAAGAGTATGTGAAATATTGATGGCAAACAAATCCAACCACTGACATCCACCAGCCAATAGGAGAAGGAATTAAGTCTGAAAGAAAATGTGAAACAAGGAGCATGTGGAAAGTGGTTCAAATGGAGGCAATGGAGGATTACATGAACATTTCTGGAAGAAACAGAACAACATGGAGAGTGTACGAGAGGAAAACATGACGATATCAGGAAGAAATGATAGGTGTGGGAGAAAGTCGCTTGATAAATGGAAACCCCAATCAAAAGGCCAAGTATGAATTCTGCAATACGAGTAACAGTGGGCCAAACAGCCGCAAGTCCCCGGCCCAGAGACCAACAGCAGAACACGTTCCATTAACGCTAATAAACTTCCATAGAGGAAGGGCTGATGGAATCTGCCATAAGAGAAGCTACATTTCGGGATAATCCTGATCTCCTCACCAAGGACTGGATAAAAACCAAGTGTGAAGATGGAGGACAGGAAGAACAGGATGAAGCACCAATAACCAAGTTTGTCGAAGCAGGGAGAGAGACAGAAGAAGGGGTAGCAGAGGAATAAGGTGGAACTGGAGGTGTAGAAACCACAATGGAGATGGCCAGTAAGGAGCAATCGGAAGGACCTGACACAACAAAGTATGGATGATCTAAATCCCCCGGAGAAGAAGTCAAATGGGAAGATAACATATAGGAAATTATCCTAACTGAAAACACTGACAGTCAGGGTAAGCAGATGAGGGATCAGAGACCAAAACAGAGAGTTTGTGGTTGAGGGATCTGGAAAATGCATCAATGTGAGGAGTACTCCACTGAAGGCAAAGCCACTGATTAACCCTAGGATCAAGAGAGACCACACTGTCAGATAGAGTCTGTCTGATTGAGAAGGACGATCTGTGACAAGATGGAAAGCACCCGAAACCTGACATGCCAGGATATAGATATCCTGGTGGGTCCATAAAAGAAAATGCAATGTATGAAAACATAGGGGTCAAAAATTGATGCCAACCTGGTGATTGAGGAATTATCAGGATGAATCAAGAACACTTCAAAGCTCCCCAGCACTCAACCCCCCCCCCCCCACGTGGGAAGTGTCTGTGAAAATATGTAAATTTAGATGAGGAGTAGGAAATGGGACATCTGTTGACATGTGGGGCCTGTCCAACCACCAATGTAGATCATCAACTATGGTAGGAGGAAGGGTAATAAAAGCCGTGCAAGAGACAATTAGTCGTGAAGAGCTCGCATATGAGCCCGACCTAAAAGGATAAGTGTAGCCATGGATGACCACCTCCCCAAAAGTAACAGAACCTCGTGAGTTGTAAGAAAGGGAGCAGTAAGGTCCAACAAAGTCGAACAAGCAAAAGCTCAAACCACTTGATAAAAACACAGTATGCAGAGCTGATCAATCACCCCTGAAAGGACAAACCGAAGACATGGTTGAAACAGCCGAGTTAATGTTATATGTAAGTAAACAGTCATGACATCCATCTTGGTCATCTGTAAACCTGGAGAAAAAGAGATATGACTCCATGGTAAAACGAGGGAGATGGAGAAAAGGTCTGAGGTGGGACAATCTATGACAGACCCCAGTCTCTGGTTGTCATGGGATAAAACATTCTGGATTAAAACCTAGAGAAAAATGATACACAGTTTCAAAGTCCTGTTGAAACAGAAAGTCTTCAACAGCCTCTGCCCAACACTGGCTGGGAATGGGATTCCGAGGCAGGGTGAAGGAAAGGATATCTGTGACAAAGGAGGAAAACTCTCTCCAAGAGAACTGGAATAACCAACTGATCTGTAATGAAATATTGCCACAGGAGAACAACGTTGAACAATCGAGCTCCCACTGGACTGGAATCCCCCCCCCCAGTTAGTCACTAGTACTGTCAGCATCGTGCCATTCTGTGTCACAGAAAACAATGAAATACAGAATTCCTGAAGAAAAAACAGATAAGGACTAGAACGGGAAACAGAAATAGGGGCTTGTCATGAGTGTTGATGCAGGAATTCCACTTGTAATTTCAAAGTGCCTGGGATATGGTCAAAAAAATACCCCCGAAGAAAAGAAGGGCTAAACAGAATATCTCGAGATAAGTGGGCAGCCAACAAACCTGTGTCAAAGCTGCATCATGGCCCAGAAGATCCCAACAACGAAGAAACCTTGTGTGGAAGGTGAGAGCCGAGGATAACAAACAAGCCAAGCTGGAGTTTAGAAGTGAGAGACTGTCCCTTGAAAAACCCTCATGATTTCAGTGCATAGCCTCAGAAAGGAGATGTACGATAGATAAATACAGTAGAAGGGAAGTAATGGTAAGACAAAGGTGTGAAAACTTGGCATAGGAGAACGTACTGGAAAATCAGGAAGTTCCCCCCATACAGGAAAAATAGACCCAAACAACTGAGGTTCTAGAAATGGACAGTCTGCATGATGGTATGTCAAAGCAAACTGATTCCTAGCCCACTGGAACAAGGCATGCTGGTACCCTCAACCAAGTGGAAAGAAAAATGCATAGCATGAACCCTAATATCCGGAGAAAGGGATAAAACATCACATACCTGAGAAATATAGCCAAAAATGCTATAGTAGGCCTAGCTGATTCCACAGGTGTGGCATAGGTGAAAAAAGGCTATCAAATCTTCATCAGAACAAACAGGTTCAGATTGTTCATGAGGAAGTGCAGCAACATCAGGAGAAGGTGTTTGACCCATATAATGATCAATCTCCCAGCAATTAATCGCAGGTAAATCCAATGATGAGTCACCCCCTCTGTCAGCGATTATGTCATTACAATATGATCAAAGTCTGCACAATTGTTTAATGTGTGATTATATATATATATTTATATAAACAATGTATACATAAAAATAATAAAAATGTGACAAAACTTATTTTTCTTACTTAATTTATTTCCTTAAACTGAGCATTTAAATTAATATTAACCATTTATATGTTAAAACAAAAATTAAAGGTAAATTACAATTTACCTCCACCTGATGGGCTGTCTGGAGAAGGATGGGAAATCATAGTTGGGCTGGATACACGACCCTGTCCAACAAGCCAACTGAAGTCAGCATTCAGATCATTTGTATAGCCACACAAGTCATTGTCAAAGTTACAACTACCAAGTGGATAGCAAGCTGATGAACTGACTGCCACATCATCAATGGTAATGACACTATTTCCAATTTTACCCCTTCTTGCTCGAACCAAAATCTATATAATAGTTTAAAATATACAAATATTTAATATAAACATACATAAACTCTTTTTTATAAGTTACATTTTACAAATTATGGAAACTGTAAATATGACATATTATGTACTTCATACTGTGAAATAGCAAACCAATCCCAATGGCATCATATGGTTCAACATATTTCTTTATAGAATACATTTAACTTTTCCCCACCCTGTCTAAATGTGTTAATTTTACGTCATCATAAACATAAAACAATTCTGATCCACTAGGCTTGACATAATAAGCCCTAGAAAATAAAAAAAACAAAATGTGCTTTTAATTATCAGTTTAGTTTGGCATATTCTATCAGAAATTAAAAAGAAAAGGAAACTTCAGATTAGTCTCATGTCAGAGTAACAAAAAATATGATCACTCACAGATTTCCACACTAAAATATTAAACACACACTTAAGAAGAATACTTATTCTTTGATACAAATTTTTCTTTATGCATTTTGCAATTTTAAATATGTATATATTTAGTATTTCATTTCAGTAGCTTAAGATTAAGTCAAAAATATCTGGTATTGTGAAAAAATTGTTATTAGAAAACTCTAAATCACAATCTAATTAAATCCTTTTTCTAATGCACTACATTTTAAATTTTTACATTCCATATGATGCACTAGATACCTCTACACACACATAATAGCTTGATTCTTTGCACATCTGCCTATGAGATTTGCATACCACTATCACTGAGCTAACTCCCACATAAATTGCGCTAGTGCATAATGACATCATCATGCAACAGTAGCCTTCCACCAATAGGAGGATGACACAACATCATTGTGCAGAAGCTCCCCCTGAGCACTTGTACTCAAAAGTGCACCAGAAGTTGGAAGGATGAGTAGAAAGGTGTTATGAGGTGAGTATTTATCAGAAATACATTTTCAGGTAAGGAGAACATTAACTTCTGCGATGATACCTCAACTCTACGCACAGAATAAAACAAAGAGAAAAAAATAATAACCCAGAGTAAGGGTAAGTACTCTCTCAATGGCATTCTTGGCCAAGAGATTCAAGATGCTGAAGATAAAGAGGATCAGAGGGAGGAGAAAAGGAAACAGGAAAAGAGAAATGAAGTGAAGAGATAGACTGTGGGTGAGAACTTGAAGAACCATCTCTGAAGACTAAAATTGGAAACCAAAAGTTTGTAAAATGAAACAAGAAGGTTCCCACTGGGCCAAGCCTGACAGCATAGTCACTAATGAGATGAGTGATGACCTTGACATTGTGAAGTGGGACAATGGGAAGAAGAAGAAGATCTGTAGAAAGCTAGAATGGGATAGAAAGATGTGGATTAAGTTGTCTTAACAACAAAGGTGATGTTGAGAAAGACAAGAAACCAAAGCAGACAATGAGGCCTGATGTTGGGCCATCTGTTCTGGATCTTCAATGAGTCAGGAACATCCACAAAGACCTTCAGACAAAACCAAAATGTGCCAGACAAAGATCAGAGAAATAAGAGTAAGGTAGGTGAATAGTAGTTAGGAGAGCATCCTGACAATAGATGAATCAAATAAGGAGGGATAAACCAGAAGTAGTAGTATGGATTAAAGTCAGGAAAAGATGAGAACAAATCTCTCCAGAAAACCCTTCTAGAGTACAAAGAAATACCTCAGAAATAAGGTGATGGGCTAAAAAGTAAGATAAAGGCATGAAAATTTGGCACTAGAAACAAAAGTTAAGGATCCACCCCCAACCAGCAAGTGGTTAAAAAAAAGATTCCAATGATTGGAAATCAAGGAACAGAAATGAAGAACCTCTATAAATCAGGACAAAAGAGTTAAGTAAAGGATAAGGAGGCATGTGAGTAATTGTGCACAACTGTTCGAGAAACGAGTCCATATAGCAAAGGAGAAAAGACAAATTAATCCTACATATTGGTTTCATGTAGTAAAGCATGGGAGGAATCAATAGACATGAGAAATAGAAAAAAGATAACATACGAATGAAATTATCTCAAGGAAAAGATGAGAAGGGTGAGAATTTTGATCCATAGATAAAATAGTGGCTAGAGTAAAATCTAGTGGGGGGAAACAGCCAGACAAAATCATTGCCATCCTGTTCAAAGTGGGGAGAAGGAACATCAACTGAATGGAGGGGACGAGAAAGCACAGAGAGCATGAAGGAACCCAAAATACATTGAACAATAGCTGTCACATCCTCCATAGATAATAATCTTCCAATAGTCACAGTAGACACAGGTCCCATGTTAGTAATACTGTCACTATCACAGGACGAAGTGGGAGTTACCATCACTTAAGAATTCATAATGACCGATAAGCAGGATCCTTGTATTTTTCTTAAGTGAAATTAAAGAAACCAGTTATATATAAACTAAATATAAATTTTGTGAACTATTGCAAATCTCAGGGAATCGTTTAAAAATTTTAAAAACATGTCCATTCAAGACAATGGCAAGGAAAAGAATGAAGTTCTTTTGAGTGTAAGTGTATAGGGGGTAAGCTACTGCAAAAAGAGATTTTATTACACCCTCCTATTATTGGAAAGCTATAATCACATGATGATGTCATCAAACACTAGCACAGTTCACATTAAACATGTTTCTTAGGTGGGAGGTAGCTCAAGACTAATGGCATCCAAATCTCACAATCAAATGCAGGAAAAAATCAAGCTAAGTGTGGAAGTGAAATATCATCTCAGAAGAGTTAAAATACAAATACTTGTATGAAAAAAGGAATTGGTAAGATTTGAGAATGTGCGTATAGAACCCAAACAAGAGAAATATACTTATCTAAGAAACTACAATCGTCATATGTTATATATATATGAATAACAAGTACTTTTAGTTAGCTGAATATTGGGATACTGTTAAGCAAGTCAATATAAATACATTTTTAAATATTATTACTTTTGAGACAATAGTTTGTTTGTTTCTGGAGTGACTTAAGGACAAAAAAAAACATATTCATCATAAAATATTAAAATAAGTTAAAATAAGTTTAAGGAGAAATACTAGAATATCAAATTCATTTGCAACTGTCTAGAAATGAAACTTTTCTTACAATTTCAAAAGTAAGTTCAATTTTCCATTTATATTGTTTGCGCAATAACCAAATCAAAACACATTTTTTATTTATAACTGAAAATCATTCACTGTTTCAATTGCTTCAGGACATATTAATAAGGCAATGAAATTATGACTACTAATAGACTAAAGTCCCTGTTGTACATATTATGGAATTTAATGTTAAAGATTTTTTTCAGCTTACAACATAATCTAATTTTACTTCTGTTACAAAATTAAACTTTCCATAAATTGACAAGAATGTAAAATAAAATGTTAAAAACCTGATATGAACTTGAGTTAGATATTTCAACTTGTCCGTATTGCCACTGATTTCCAAAACTACTTGTCCATTTCTTTAACATGATTTCATCTTTTTTATTAGTTTGAATAAAAACTTCAAGGCTACTGTCACCCACAGGGTTGATGATATAGTACCACAGACTTAGACAACGAACTTTCTGACTAGCATCATACATAGGACTAACAATGTCAGCAATGCTGTCTTGCAGAGAACCTTCTTCACTTACAGTCTGTAATACTTTACCTGAAGAATTTATTAACAGAAAAATAAGTCAGTAAGATTAGCTATTGCTTACTTAAATAAATAATTTCACTAGAAAACATAAATTAAATGCTAACTAAACAACCTAACTGACAATAAGATTAGAAAAAAATACAAATATTTAACAAGGCAAAACAACACGATCTCTCGTACTCAACATTTTCATGTTCAAAATATACTACTTATATGTAGCACCCACTAGAGCAATAAAGATTAACTCGCAAGTCACTTTAATGTTCCACTCTACCTAAAAAATCCAAGCATACACAGAATAAAGTCTGCACAAGAATACCCTAGCTATCACAACTTTTACAGCTGGCACAACACAGTCATGGCTGGATAAACTGTTTACCTGATTGCCTCACAAATCATATTTGGACATCACTTCAAAACTGAGTGATGCAAACTACAAAATTTATGAACAATTAATTGTCAATATCCCAGTGCTAATGAGCTTCACAACAAATTAAGCATTGACAAGAAACCGTGAAGATGATATACAAGTTAAAAATCCACAATAATGAAGAGTTAATTGCAAAATACTTGCACTGAACATTCATGAACAACAATGTATGCAGTAAAATCATAATGCATTTGTGGAAATTATGATTGCAAAACAATTTTTCATGCTCTTCAAATGAATATTTAACATCCTCTGACATAACTTGGATATCTTTATAAATCTTGTACTTCTAAGTTCCTAATACTGTTGAATAAGCACACACATTACAATGTGCATATAACCAAACATTGTAACTATTTTACATATTGATTTTTTATTATTCCAGTAACCTATGATCTCTCTTCTCTAAAGCTCTCAAAACTCAGAATTTTTGCATCTTAAAAAACTGAACACTACTACCAGCCTCACTATATAGTGTATATCTCCATATATACATACTTACAGAGTTCACTTGCAGAGCATGCTGGGAGGGCCATGTCATTTGTTCAAAATATGCCCAATGCTTTTGGCAGTAAATATGTATATTTATAAAAAAGTTATCTGAATAAACAATATGTTAAATACCTTGGTAAACAGTCTATGATAAGCACATGGCCTTATGAATTTTATTATGTAGATTATATTAAAACCATTCAGCTACAATTAGAAATTAATCACTGTACCTTAAACATCAAGAATAAATAATTATGAAACCCACCAAATATGAGAGAAATCAGTTTTATTTTTCAGTATTACTGTCTCATTCGTTTTGCCTTGTGAATTATATAAGCATTGTACCATAAAAAAATAAGAACAAACAATTAAAAACATACCCAATGAGCTATCAGTTGTATGGTCTATTTCAGTATTATTGTCTGGCACTTTTAGCTTCCAACTATAAATGTTAGGCTTTTGAGATGTCCTTCCATAATTCCATTCACACATCCCAAATTCAAAAGTACAAACATGTCCCTCTAAAATAAATGTTTATAGCATTTGACATTGTAATGGTCATTAATAATTAACACTAACTTAAAGTTTAGAATTATGTATTTCAGCTTAATGCCAAAATTGCAGCTAGATGATTTCACTTTAGTTTAATAAAGTAATCAAAAAATGCAAAAAGCATGAAAAAACAGAAAAATATTACTGGAACAGAAAAGTTAATAAAAATCTGGGAATAATATAGTGTTTGAGTTTTATTAGAATATAATTAAGTGTTAAATGTGTTATTTTATATGTCAAACTAATCACATCCTCTAATAAAATTCAGTTACAGTAAATCAATAAAGTTAATATCTCATAAAGTCCTTTACAAAATATTTTATATGGCAGTTTACATTTAGATATTGCTAATTAATGTAAAAAAATTTTTGCTGGTTTTTCATACACTTTCTTACAATGAAAGAGTGTAAAGATGTGTCTGAATGTATAAACAAAAATTATACCCAAATATGCTAACCTTGTAGTTGACAATAAAAATGAACCAGTTAACACTGAACACCCCTATCTTAAGATGACTAATCAAAGAAATACACAGCTAAAATGACTAGCTACAATTATGGCTGCTTCATTAAAAGTCAACTTTAATACTACCAATAGATTTTATTTATGTAAATGTTACAGTTTTGTATGATGATTAGCGAAAGGATGAGCAATTATATGAAAACAACCAGTTAAATCAAAATGGTTTTATTTCATTTTATTTGTCCTAAAAATTATTCAGCATTAGGATGAATGAAAAACAAGGTCTGATTTATCACTAATTGTGTATAGATAATAGATGCTGCAGAGAAAAAATACTGAACTGACCTTAAATTTCTCAGACACCATGCTCTCATAAAAAGTATATTGTTCACTTTCATAACTAGCAAAGCACGATATATTGAAGAAATACTGCATTAGCTTTGAAAATTAGTTTAAAAACTTCCATAAAAAACGTGCTAAATATATGGCACAACTAAGGATTTTCATTTTATATAGCATAACAAAACTCCAATAACATGGTTCTGGTTTTGTTAACACTTTGTAAGAGTTTGAAACTTTCCCTTTCAATGAAACAATTAGTAGAAATCATACAGTAACAGGCTATGATTTATAGTTAACTCACAACTCACCAAAAGTCATGTAAAAATATCATTTCAAAGATCTTTTTTTTGGAGGATTCACCTGAAATACCACAGCCTGTAAGCTAGAACTTGGTGGAGTAAAAGTGATTTTTGGCTAACAAGCCAAGCAAACCTCAATAATTATGCTGCAAAACAAAGCATTATAGGAATTCTCTACTGTTTTCAAAAGTAGCAATTATGACTAAAAAAAAAGATTGTTGTGCATGTTTCTGGCTTGAAAATTGGAAAAAACTTGTTAGAATCTTTTGTTTGGAAACATCAACAGTTTATAATGTAATATATTTTACTGTAGACACTATAACATTTGAAATTAAAGTGCAATGCCAGCTGGTTATTCTATGCCAATAATAGTACTGTTTAACTAACTTTTTTTCATGCTTTATGATACTTTTGAAAAGATTCAATTTTAAACATTCAAATTAGTAAAAAAAGTTTAATGTGTGGATATTTTTATATTGACTTGGATACACATAGAAAATTATGACATTAAACTACCAGTAGAAAAGAAAGTTATGGTGAACTGTGTCTAAAGTTACTACCTGATAATAAAAAATAAGGCTTTGCTATTAGTAGTTTGACTTTCAATATACCTTGCTGCTGACATGACCCAGTGCTTCCTTTAATTTCATCAACTGCAATATCTCCTGCAAATCCTTTGATTGGTAAAGCTTTGATCAGAATCTGAAATAAGAGAATATTAACTTTATATATCATACACCATTCCGAACTCTGAGATTCCATCCATGACACACATTATGACCAGCCCACAAACTAAATAAAAACTGTTATACAGTTGTAACAGAAAGGCACGGTTCCACATACTAATACATCACATGAAAAACAATAAGATAAACTGAGGTAGTTATTTTACTCATTAATTTCAAAACTTCTTTACAATAATAAAAACTATTAATTAAAAGAATTGAAATATATCTCTTTTTAATATTTTACATTTTCATTTCTTTCTTTTTTACAATTTATTGTTTAAATACTTTGTAAACAACAGATCCTTTCAGTAATTCTGGGGTTGAAATTTTTCACCAAGGAAGACAGTTCAAGTTTGATATACATTCTAACATTATACATGTATTTTATACAGTTATCACCACCAAAAAATTCTAAAGTTACTTGCAATCTCTAGTGTCTTTTGATAGCTTCATTAACAATAAACTTGTTGATACATACTAACATAGGAAAGAAATAAGAAAAATTATAACTAAATGCCTGATCATACCAGTGATGGTGAAAGAAATAAAAATACCTGAATTAATAAACACGTATGGGTCTCTCTATTAACATATTAAATCTTTTTAATATATATCATTTGATATATCATTTACAAATAATAATTTGGTTGAAAGATATTCATGTAACAAATACAGCCTATCTCACTCTCCTATAGCATGTATTTTGCATTTGTAAACTTTAGTGTTTTTTATAGTTCTAACTTGCCAGTATTATAAATTCAGTTAAGCTGCTTTCTGTGGTGTTTATTTTATTTCATTTAATTTCAATGCTTTTTGTTTTTTAACAATATAGGAAACGAATTTAAACATTGTAAACAGATGGCTCTACAAAAAATATCCTTTAAATCTATTTAAAATTATAAAGCATGTACAACAGTTATTAAATCTAAAAGACATATAAAAGTAACACACTCTCAAGCTCACATGTATACTTAAAGGAAGATGAAAGAACATTACAATTTTCTCATCAACAAACAAACCTGATAACCTATAGTCTCTCACACAAAACACCTGTGGTTTGAATTTACAAATTTCACCAGTTTGTAAGTATTGATTTCATCATCTTAGAACCAAAAAGATTTACCACAGTATTTATGGGAAAGGAAGTTGCATACCAATTTGTTATATCTTCCTCATAAACTCAAGATTTAAGCTTAAAATGAATAGAGGCTTTCCTATGATGAATGATAACTATTTTTACTCATTTAAACTACAGGAATTTTTATGAAAAATGCCCTCAATGTGAAAATTAATGTTTCCATCATTTTCAGCTTGAAAATATGACAAATTAACTTCAAAATTACATCTACACAGAAAGCTTAATACATGTACAGTGAGATCTGATAAAGTAAAAATTCTTCTGATTAACCGCTTTAAACTGACAATATAAGCTCCTTAAATATCTAAATTCATTCGAGAAAACATAGAACTCCTGTAATTTTGTACCTCCTTAAATCCTGCCAGCAGCTGATCTCATCAAGATCACAACTGTATATATTTTTGTTAAAACAATTGCTGTCTGTTATCAAAATAATTTAAAATTTATCACTAATCTATTATTTTGAAATATAATAATAATAATAAAAAGAGCTAAGGTAAAAAAATCTTAGTTAATTACCTTAAAATTTCCTTTAGGAAGAGCAATAGACTCGGCAAACAGGTGCCATTTGTCTGGCTGTGACCCACGAGTTCCCCAGAAAGCAACCTCTTTTTCTGATTCTTCATCAGTAACACTCTGAAATAAAACATGAAGTTCACCAACAGCAGGGCCAAACATATGATACCAGAAGGTCAGACAAATATCTTCATCAGGTACAGATAGAACAGTACTCTCAAGAATGGCTATTTGTGTTGAACTGTGGTCTTGTAGTGAAGGCACGTACAAATAACTACCTGTTCAGTAAATAATATTTATTAAGAGTATGATTTCAGTCTTGCAGACTATTAAAAACGAACAATCATTATATATATAAAAACATATAGAAACCTATCAGTTAGAAATAAATACAAACATGAAAGAGTTTAGTAAAATGGATTGCTTTACCTGATTTTGAATCTAAAACACCACTGCTTTACAATTTAAGACTGATGAAAGTAAGCCATAATAAGGAAGAGAACAACTCATATACATTAGTTGTTGAGCAAAAATATATAGTTACCTTCTCTTTTTTTTTTCAATAATAATTAACTTGTGGGTATTTGACAATGCACTTACATTTAAGTAATATATAACTGGGAATCAAATTATTTTTAAGACAAAATAAAATGTGATATTTGTGTCCCCAAAAGCTTCTTAAATAAGTTTGAAAACCTTTACTGCTTTAAAAAAAATGAAATTATTTCTACACTTGTAGTCTGCTTTTCAAATGTGACACATATAAATCCTACACAACTAACAATATTATATTGAGTGTAATAGAAGCCATTTTGGTAGTAATTGCAATTTCTAACAAACTTGAACTTTCAGATCAACAACAGTATTACAGCTCTATAACATATAATAATATAAAACATTTTTTTCATCTGTGTTTCTATTAAACAGTACTATAGTACACAGCAAAACACAAGAATCCAAACATTTTGACTTCAGCTATTAGATACATATACACTAATTTTATACTATCCATATCCTATGTACCACTGTTAGGCATGTCAATACCTGACCTTATTAAAATCAAATAATACACTTTCCATAACAAACACTTCCCATTACATAATTAAGAGGGGAAAGCTGTCTACCTAAACTAAACCTTACATTGACCAACAAGAATAAATAAAACAACAAATAACTAACTAAACTGACAATCTTACACAAAATCAAAAAGTAATTACACTTTCCACATAGATTACGAATCAAATAAAATAAAACTAAGTTAAAAAAAGATGATGATAAGGCCAATTAAACTAATAACAGCCATCAATCAGTGTCAGATTGCTTTAGATTTTGACATGGTTTATTTCAAGATAAAGTTATAATTAAACTCCTTTGTTTTTTAAGCACTCAAATAAATTGATCTCAACTGTCCCAAAAATACAAGTTAATATGTTGGTACTGTATGAAAATATGTTTCAGTGTATTTTTCTCTAGTAATGAAGATCACTGTCCTGTAACATATTTCTTTAAATTTATATTTACTTCAGTTAATAAAAATCAGATCTTTTACAGCCGACAAAAATACATAAAAAAATTGTCCTCAAACTTATGAACTACAAAGAAAAGACAAAACAATCTTAAATATTTTTTGTAGCTTTGTGAGTTACATATGAACTTAAATATTGCCTTAAATAAGGTATTTTTCAGCAATTTATATTTTGTTTTACCTTTTCCATCTACAGGTTTCAATGGTCCAAAAATCTCTGCAGCTGAAGATCTCTCTCCAAACTGCCACGTTAATTCTCCACTATTTTCACTCCAATAACATAAAGTATTCTCGTCAAATGAGCAAGTCAAAAACTCTTCAACTATAATAAAAAATAGAGAAACAGAAAGAAATATAAAGACATTTTTTCAGAGGAAGTCTGTTAAAATAGTATTGTGGGAATAAGTTATGGGACTCAGTTCTTAAATCTAAAAAAAATGTAAGTCACTCTAACTATACTAATGAAGCTAATACTAAAAAAAATACTGTTCTGTATAGAAAATGCAATTATCTACTACATAACAGATTACCATTTATAACGATGTTGCTTTATTATTACATCATTAGGATAGTAGTACAAGTAAAGCACACACAATGAAAATCATCATGTCAAACTATAAATACAATTTCACAAGCACTTAAAAGATAGATACAGATTATTGAGTAAAAACTTAAAAAATGTGATTTAGCAAAGAATACAATAACAATATTAGCTACAAAATAAAATCATATTTTACCAAATCAAGTTAGACTGAAGATATTTTTTTTCTATTAGCTTTTTTTTGGGGGAGTTCTAATGCAGTGAATAAAGTTGATCTTGTAAATACTAGCAGGTTTCTTGATTATCCCTTTACATGTAGACATGTTACTTCATTAAGTATAGTATTCTATACTCTATAGGTTGACCACTGTTTATTTTCTGCAACTTCTTTATACTTCACAAATCTTAGGATTTGTTTGGTAATTACACACGAGCTATCATGCAAAAACCATTCACATTTGTTGATAAGTATATAATTTACAATATTCCGACATTTCTAAACTACTGACCAGACAGAACACAGCCAGTCAGTAGCATCCTATCAACCACACTAAGGGATTGACTGTCACTCTTATAATGCACACACAGCTGAAAGTGCACAAACTATTTTGAGGTATCACACAAATTTGAACCCAGACCACTAGCACCAAAATCAAGAGCTCTTGCACAGGACCAAACTTTTCTACTTCAGTTTTTCTCATATCATTTGCATAATGTTAGTTTTGAAATACCATTAAAATTTTTTTTAAATCATATAAGACATTACAACCACAGTATTAAAATATTCTTGAATTCAAGAATCAATTAGAGTTACTGTTATCAAAGATTAAAATTCAACCATACCTACAACATTAAAAACAGAAGCTTCATATTAACTACTTTGACTTAAGATTGTTCAATGAAGTTTTCACTCTTCATCCATCTCAGGCATGATAAGTTTATCACAGATTGAGACCCAGTGTTGTTGTTAGCTGGTTGTTCAGCTTTGGGTTTAAGTTTCCAGTTAGGAGCACTTTCTTTTCCCTTAATGTCCATTCATCTGTTGCTGCGTCTATTATTTTGAAGTGTTCAATGTTAGGCTTTTCGCTACATTCTTTGTATTAGATTGTTATAAATTTCAGAGTCGTTGGAAAGGCTGTTTTGCATATGATCCTTAACTCTGGTAATTAGGGTTCAGGTCATTGACCTAATGTAGCCATACCTACAGTATAAACACGTGTATTGATATACCACCAGTGATTTTTTGATAAAGTGTATTTTGTCTTTAAAAAAGAAAAAGTTATATATTCGTTTGTTCAGTTTGAATATCACTCTTAGGCTGACTTGGGGATAAGTTGACTGTAGAATATTCTTGATTTTTCGTTTTTGGTTTGATGCCATGAGAACCATGAGAACTTATTATGCCTAAGATGGGCAAAAAGTGAAAACTTCATTGAACAATCAAATGTCAATATTTATCTCAAATACTTTGACTTAATAATACTGTGTTTTGTAATTGATATTTGTAATAAAATCATACATCAATGAATTTCTGTTAAAAAATATGCTTGTATTTTAACACAATGTTATTTACAAGTGTAGTTAGATCTTCATATAATATAATAATATGGTATAAACCCCACAGATACGGTACAGCCAGTGTATCCAAAAAACTTGTTCTAGATTCATTAATTCCATCATATGAAATATAGTAGACAACCACTATTGAATATTTAAACCAGTTTTTAATTAATTACAGCTTCACTTTGGTCATGTATCTGGCAACACTAATTTTGTAAAAATCTTGTAATTGAAAAAAGTTTTTACTTATATAAAACACTTAAAAAAAGTTACATAATTCAGAATGTGCAATCTCATTTTATTCATTGCAAGTTTTTAAGTTTTTTGATTAAGATTAAAACAACACTCATTTTTATCATTAGTTCCAGTTTCTCTCTGTAATAACTTAATTCATTATCATCCAACACTCTTGACATCAAGTGAAAGGAATTACACATTTTTCATACTAATACACAAGATATAGACATATGTGAAGAAATTATGCATATTAAAAATAACTAATTGATCAATTTGTGATAAAAATTTGAAAATTAATTTTACATTCTTTACTTCTCCAAATTCAAATGGATGTGAAAAAAAAAACATCTTCAGATAATTTGATTTTTATCATAAATGTTAGGCCTACTGATTTGTAATGTTTCATCAGTGTTCAGCATTTAAATTGTAACCTAACTGATAAACTGACTTGACATTTATATTTCATTGTAATTTTGTACTGATAATCAAACTAGAAGTCAGAAACATGTACATATATACAGCATCCTCATAACATTTCATTAACCAATGAGTTAACATGTATCAAGAAAGGTAACAATACATGCATGTTATAAACTGAGTTGGTTTCACTATTTCTGTGCTCATATCTTTACACATTACATGTAATCTGTGTTAAGTATAAATGACTACTTGCAAAAGATAAAAGAATAAGCAGGTTGCATAAAAGACTTACGAATACTTATATAAATATGTGAAAACATTAAAGAAACTATAGGTTTCTGCATATACCTAAATAGTCATAGCAAAAAGAAAAATACATAAATATACACACCTGGATTAGAGTCTTTTTCATTTTCAAACTACCAGTAAGTTAACAACAATTGCTTTTTCGAATCAATATATCAGACAGCAGTGAATCTTGAAACTTAATATTTTTCCTATTTTATTAAACTAAGGCCACTTACTCTCATCAGATGGAACGGCTTGCTTAGGCATAAGGGTACACTCTTTGGTACTAATAAATTGAATGTTGTCAATAGCAATAAATCCTTCAGATTCATTTTTCAAGTTTCCCTCAAACACAACCTGTGAAAACAAGTTTTTATTGGTTTAACTTAATAATTTGGACTTTAAAGAATTTAGAAAATGCTATAATCAATACTACCAAAATACTCCATGTAACTAAAACCAGTTAACTTTTCAATTTCTAAGTTTTAGTAAACCAGTAAAAGCTTTTTACCTATATTTATAATTCTTTTCTTCAAAAACTCACAATACTTGTAAAGTGTCTGTCAGTTATGGTGCAATTATACCATCAAGTAATCAGAGTATACTCATCAATGAGGCTTGCATAACAATTTCATAATGTATGCAGTTTTTATTGTTAACATGAGTTAATAGTAGATTTATTGCCTTGTGCAAACAACATCAGCAGCAAAACTTTCCAAGCACATTGCTGACACAAGACCTGTGTACTTTTTTAATTCACTTTTAATATAAGAGATACATTCTAACAAAAAAAAAAAACTTAGGTAATAACTGAAGTGCAAAATGAGTGTACTTCAGAGTTTGATAATGATCATAAACTGATTTGTGTATCTAGATTATCCACCTAATCCACTGTTCTCAATATCACACAGCAATAAATGTAATGCTTCTAATCTATTCGTTTGGACTTTCACAAACATGAAAAGAGAGGAATTATCTTATTTTTAATGTTAAAAACACAAAAATGTTACAACAGCAGAGGTCACGTGACACCAGTAACATGCCACGTGCTTCTAGAACGTTCATGAAGCGTTGGAAGACTACTAGATATGGGGTAGTCTTGTATATATAAGACCAGCCAAGAAGTGACGGGAACAATGTGTAATCGAACTGCGAACAGAGTATTGTTGAGTTGAGCACATGAGACGTTTGTTGTGAATTATAGCATTTGTTATAGCGCAACTGTGGAAATTAAGTGTATTGCAAAGTTGTATTCAGAAAGAATAAACCAGTTTTATTTAAGAAAGGACTTGCATCACCAAAGTTTCGTCAGAACAAAATTTACGGAAAATTAACTAACGAACGGAGACGTAACAAAAGGTTCAAGCTTAACCAAATGTTTCAATTAAACAAGTCTGTATCATTTGTGAATATTATCAACATGTTGCATCTGAAAGCAAAATATCAGTGATTCCCAATCTTTTATACTCTGCAGAGTGGCAAAATATTAAATCTGTGTAAGAAAGTTTATGGACCAATATAAGTATAGGCTACAAATATAAATATTGTGAATATTTATTAAGAAAAAATTATACATATTTTTAATTGTTTCTCTTTTTTCTTTATTTCACCAGCTCACACTCATGAATCTTGAAGAATAAATTAAACACTATAATCAACATCCAAAGATCACCTTCAATGTGTGTTTAGGCCTCTACTGAGAAATTAAATTTTCTTTTTTTTTAATCCAGTTCTCTAAACAGCCATGTGGTTTATGAATTTTAATGTCTGATGTGTGAAAGTGAGTACATGTACATTGCCTCAACTGTCAAAAGGCTGGAAGATCATTTAAAAAGAATATAATCCTAGACTCAAGAACAATTCAAGCATTATTCAACATGCACTAGGTGATTGTGATGTGGTCCTATTCCCTATCAATTTCAAAATACTTAGTAAGGGTGAAAACGAAGCTATACTGAGGGAGAAGGGAAAGCTTCTGATTAAACAAAATTGAACAATAAACAAAGCACTACTGAACTTGTGCTTATAATTCAGATCTTTGAATTTCATTTCTAAATACTCTAGAAACCAATCCAAGTCCAATGTTTAGTCTCTTTAAGTTCCTGTTATACAGAAATTGTATTTTTTTTTCTTTAAGCAATATATTGTCTGCAAAATAGCAATTGAGACCTCAATATACTTTAAATACAATTGGATACCTAGATCAACCTGAAACAGTGTAACTCAACCTGAATATATGCATGTAGTAATGATAATAAAACAGGCAATCAGAATGTTTTTATTAAATTAGCACTAAGTTTTAAACAAAAATTATACACTGTCTATCAAATATAAAATTTTTTTATAAAAAACAATTCATAATTAGGTATTAATAGTACAATAACAAATATACATATATTTTGTATATTTTTTAATTTTTGTTGGATAACATTTATATTGCCAATAAATCTTTGTTTACTTATACTTAACTTCTAAAAGTAAACAGAAAAATAATAAAATAGAATATTCATTTATAAAAAATAGGATTTCACTATTTCAAAGTATTGTATTTTTTGTACCTTTCACACCACATTATACTAGCTCATATCAAACTCTTATAAACAATAGTACACCATGGTATCAACTTTATAAAGCATTTATTTTCTATATTGTAACAATTTTATATTTTACATTTATTGATTTCTTTAAGTTTTTGTTACAAAATCAGGTTTGAATTCATGCAAAAACTAACAAATCCATATATCTACTTTTCTTTTTGCATACGTTTTACACATTTGTTAATTTGTCTGACTTGTGGATATTACATAAATTTTAAAAGCTAGGAGTAAATCTTATTTCTATGTAGAACATTTATATATTGAAAAGTTAAAAAAAAACACAAAATATGATAATGTACAATGAGAAGCATGCTCCCACCTGATGACTTTCATCCCTTGAAACCACCGACACTCTTCCTTTCTTCCACGTTTTGCCATGGTAACCTTTAAGCACCCAAATAGGATTTTCTGTTTGATTCTCAGTTCTAACCATCACCTGCAAAAGCATCTTAATGTTGTTAATTACTTATAGCAAAAATACTCAAAACACTGTACAAGGAAAATTTAAAAAGAGTCTAAATGACCATCTTGTCTAGTCACCATGATAAAATATGACTTTTATGTAGAGAACAGAAAAAAAGTCAGGTTATTTAAATTTTAAAGCAGCCACTTTTCAGGAGGTCTGAAATCATTACAAATCTTAGATAACTGAAACAATTTAATTTATGCCACTTACATAACGTATGATTTGTTTCTTTAAGCACAAAGTTACACATTGAAATATCTATACTCTGTCTACTACAAAGAATCAAACCCCAGATTTTAGCACTGTAAGTCCGCAAACTTACCACTGACCCATCGGGGACTCCCATTTAATGTAAATAATTTTCTTAGTTTTTCATAACTTCATTCAAAATTCTGATACAAAGCATAAGCATACACAGCTCACTGTACATTAATATTATGGTGGCCAGACAGTTTGCTACTGAATATTTTGTTCCTGGACATTTCGCTAGTGGTCAGCTCGCTACCTGATAATTTTATGTCATAATCAGCTTTACATATCTTATTTAATATCATAAAATAAAAATATTGCATCAGTATTAGTTCATTAGACAAACACCCCAATCAGTAAAATATTAGTAAATATTTTTTCGATATTAGCTTATTAGAGAAATACTCCTTCAAAATAAAAAAGGCTCTTATGTTGTAAAACATTTCAATTGAAATGATAAAAGATCTGAACTTTTTAAGAATGATTCAGTTTTCCTCGATTAGTTGTTCAGCCATAATGAGTTATTTATACATAGCTGAAACAGGTAGTGAAATGACCTGGTAGCAAAATACCCTAGTAACGAAAAGACCGGTAGTGAGCTGACCAGTAGCGAAATGTCTGGGAACAAAATGTTCGGTGATGAACTGTCCTAGAACCGAGTATTATACAGAAGATACAACTCTAAGAAATACTTTAAGTATAATTACATTAAGTTTCAAAGACAACTATGTCATTTTTAAATAAAAAATTAAAAATCATGATATCTTCAAAACACTATTTATTGATGCTTGTTGTTATATGAAAAGTATAATTTTTGATATTTCATTCAAACACAAAATTACTTAGAATGAAATATCTGTAATTTTGTGCTGATTTTGTCATAAATCAAATCATCTATATAAGTATACTTACTGTAAGCATATGATCTTAAAGTACTTCAATTCTGTCCATAGCAGGAAGCCCAAGCCTGCTATAAACATCTTTTATACAATATTCATGTGTTGGTGCTCATTAGCATGGTCAATTTTTTTTCCCCTTGCTAACATTCAGTACTCTGTCTTGAATTGTATTAAATGTTTATTGATTCTTTTCTTATTCAGTTTCAACTGTCATTTGTCAGATAAAAAGCATCATTTTTGATACATAAACCATCTTTTCCTCCTTATTGTTGCACAACTTGAATTATTTTTACACTTACTCAAGGTCTTCAAATACTCAATTACTTCGGGAAATTCTGAATTCCATTGAGAACATTAAAATCTTAGAATACCACTCTCTCTTTATATTTTTTCAATACATGAATGTTTTAAAATTTCCATTTTAGCATAAACTATGTTCTATACAAATTTTATCCCCTGTATAATAAAAGTTCTTTATTTAAATTAAACTGTTTATGTCATGCACTATTTCCTTTACAATATATGTACATGCATATATGTTCCCCAGCATTCCTGTCAACCTTGTTCTCCTCTTGGTCTGCAAAAGATTAACAGCAGATGTGTCCCTACATCCCTGAACAAATCTAAATGTAAACAGTCTTTTAGAACTGCTGACCTTCTGCACTAACTCCACCTACTTCCAGTTCCTAAACAAGTTCTTTGAACAAACAACTGGCCATCCTATGGAATAACCTCTCTCACTCATTCTCAGCCACATTTTCATGGAAGACTTTGAAGCCAGAGCCCAACAGACAAGGATCTTAAAATCTAAGATTTGGAAACACTACGTAGATGACACATTTGTTATCTGATCACATGGATTATCATTGCTTGAAGATTTCCTCCATCACCTAAATTCTGTAAAACCCAGCAAATATTTCACCATGCAGTTAGAAAAAAAATAAAACCCTCCCATTTCGTGACATACTCGTTCACCAACATGATGACTGTCTCACCACAGATGTTTATAGGAAACCCACCCACACTAACAGATACCTGCACTACAGGTTCAACCATTCAATAGCTCTTAAACACAGAATTATATCAAACATGTTTGACAGAGCCAGAAAGATTTGTGATGAAGATCATATTCAAAAATAACTAACCTCAGCAAAGTGAAACAACCAAACAACAAATCTAAACAAAAAGAACTCAACTATGAAGTACCATGTTCATGCAGCAATACTTACATTGGAGAAACTGGTTGTACTATAGAACAAAGAACATAAAGATGCTACAAGACTAACACACCCAGATAAATCACCTTTGGCTGAACATAACTACAAAACAGGACATATCATAAACTGGGATCAACATAGAATTTTTGACAAAGCTTACCACTGGAAAGAAAGAAAAATCAAAAGAACTATTTACATCAAACTTCACCAATCTGAGCTCAACAGAGACAACAGCGTGTACATCAACGACTTATGGATATGCACTCTCAACAAACTCTGCAGACAAAATGATGATGTCACAGTTCCATAGACAACACCCACCAATCACGGCTCTCGCTTTACCTCACAGCCTGGTCTTTATCACTAGGCCGTGCTTACCTTTTATGAGACTTTACACAAGTTCTTACAGGAACCAGAAAAAGGCCTCAGTACAGAAGATGAAACGTCATCCTCTTTTCACTCAACAGGCAGTTGCAGTACATTAAAGTTCTCAAACTTACAGTACTCATATCAAAACTTATATATCCCATAACTATGTGATCATGCAAGAGTCAGACAAGTTCTATAAAATTGCAACTGACCCACAAGTAAGTTTTGTATGCTTTAATAATATATAAATTGAACTGTAAAAAAACAGCTTCAGGTAAATAGGGGTGAAAAAGTTCAATTGAGATGTATTGTGATAAGCAATAAGTTTACTTCTTGCATGTTTTATATTAGAATTTACCCCATTGCAAAGTGAGAAACCAAAGTCCTCCTTCAAGCTGGTAGTCAAAAAGAACTCAAAACTGTTTTGTTATAAAAAAAAGTAGAAAAGTATGCTTTCATAAAATCTCCCATAAACCAGCTTTTCCTATGATGTTTACTTGTACAACAATCTCAAGACCTCTGTATTAAAACCAATGACAGGAATTACATCGCCACCTCAGTATCAATAGTTAAACCACCATCAAAAGCATGAATGAGGATATCATTTTTGATATCTTAGAAGAGACTTTCACAACAGATAATAAACTGTGATTAGAATAACTAATGTATTAACAACTGTCTACATGCCTTTACAATTTTCTTTCAATAAAATGTAAACATAATTTTTAAATTAACATTATTTAATTTGCCTTCAAAGTTTAAGGTAGATGAAACTTATTTGCCATGACTGTTAGAGCTATTATCTTTCTTACAGTGTGAACCAAATAAGGTCCAAGATACTTATTATTATACATATCCTTCTTTCTATAGTACTAAAGATTTCTTACCCGCAGAGATCCTCTTTCATCACCATACAAGTGATACCAGAAGACCATACAACGACTCTCATTGTACAGTGGAGAGAACATTTTACTTTGCAGTCGAGAAACATGGTTGGACTTTGTGTCATGGGAGCTTATAAATACATAGAATCCTGGAACAAGAAGAACACATATGTATTCGATGACGAGGAACCCACTTTGAGACTAATAATGGCTGGAGATGGCTTGAATGGGTAATGAAGAAAAACTTTAATATAAGTTTAACATAACAGCAAATGTACAACGTTTCGACAAGGTTTTGTCATCATCAGGTGCCAAGATACTTATTATTATAAGTATCCTTCTTTCTATAGTACTAAAGATCACCTGATGATGACAAAACCTTGCCGAAACGTTGTACATTTGCTGTTATTTTAAACTTATATTAAATTTTTTCTTCATTACCCATTCAAGCCATCTCCAGCCATTATTAG